CTGAGTTCTGATGGGTTTATGAGGAGAGGAGATGAGGCAGAGTGCCACATGGACCACAGACTGCTTTCCTGCCTGCCACTGTGCTGTGATGTGATGTGGGCAGGACGACCGTGCCAGATAGGGCCTCTCGACCTTGAACTTCAAACTATGAGCTAAATAAACCTCTATTTTTATAAATCATCCAATTCGAGGTATTTCCTGTTACTAGCAATTAAATATCTATGAGAACACTCTTCTATTTATTTATCCTTAACCTAATGCAACTCTATTAATTATTTAATTTTATTTATTCATTTATTTTAATTTGACCACACACACACACACAGAGTGAGAAACCAAGTCTGGGACTCAAACCATGGTTGGCCATGTGGGAGTGTCCTGCACCACACTACCTGTTGGATCCATGTTCATTTTCTAATTTGATTGTTTTGAGAATTCTTTCTATGTTTATAATATTTTCTTTGTTGGACAAGTGGTTTGATATTTTCTCCCCATCATTAGTTTGTTTACTACTCTCATTACAGGGTATTTTGCAGTGCAAATGTTTTTAGTTTGATTAAAATATAATTTATTAATTTCTGCTTTTAAGACTCATGCTTTAGGTATTGAGTTTCAATCTCCTTGTTCCTATGTTCTGAATAGTTTCTCCTATGTTCTTTCTAAAAGGTTTATACTTTTATAATTTACATTTCAGTATGATCCATTTTGAGTTAATTTTTTGTGTCAGAGATGTTGGACTTTTCTTTGTACTTTTTTTGAGCCATTTATATCTCTTTCTTTCAGAGTTTTCTGCTCGGATTGACTGCCCATTTTAAAATTAGATTTCTAGAATTTTGAAGAGGGTGAGACCCTTATACATACACGGTTGTCAATGTGTTATCTGAAGTATAGTTTTCATATATTTTCTCTCATACTGTGGATCTTTAGTTATTATGTCTCATTCTGTGCTAAATCTTTTTAGCTTGTCTATTTGGGGTACTGTTGCCTGTGCTTTGGGGGTCTTATTTAAGAAAACTACTCTAATATCTTGTGTTTCCTCATGTATGGAAAAGTTCCCAGTCTTTCACAGTGGAAGGTAATGCTTGTCTGACAGAATGAGTTTGGAAGTGCTCCCTCTTCTTCAATCATTTGAAAGACATTTCAGAAGATTCAGTAATCAGATGCAGGATTTTTCTTTGCTGGGAGATTTTTGATCACTGCTTCACTTTCACAACTTATTTCTTTAGAATTCAGTTTTTTGTTTGTATGTTTCTGTGAATTTGTGAACTTATTCAAGATTACCCCATTTGTTAATGTGTAATTATTATTATTCTTTTAGACTGTCTTAAATTTCTATGGCATCAGTTTTAATGTACCCTCTTTTATATCTGATTTAATTATTTGAATCTTTTCTCTCTTTTCTTACTTAATTGATCTAAGAGTTTGCTAATTATTCTGAACGTTTAAAAAAACAACCTTTGGTTTTGGTAATTTGTTTTTTTATTCTTTATTTCATTTGTCTCTGCTGTAATTATTATTTGTTTTTTTAGCTTCTGGTTTAGCTTGTTCTTTTTCTAGTTTGGGGGGTGTAAAGTTATCTTGTTAATTTGTAATTTCCTTTTTAAAATTTTATTATTATTATTATTTTAGATTTTTACCATAAGGTGTGTGCATTTGCCAAACAGGGAAAGGTGACAAATCACTCCCCAGGGCAGATGGCCATGCTGCAATCCCTTTTACTCCATCTCCTTTTGGGATTTTGGGCACACATACACACACACACACATACTCAGCATGTTTTTTAGGCCACTGGATCTGGGACTCAGAGTCAGCCATGTGGGATCCAGTGTTTTAACCACCACACCTGCTGGCTTTTAATATCTCTTTTTTTTTTTTTTTCTTGAGAAATTTTTCACTGTAGGGCGCGTGCGCTCGCCAGACAGACAGAGAGAGACATAGAGACAGAAAACGAGAAATCACCCCCCCAGGGGGGATGGTCACGCCGCAATCCCTTCTCCTCCATTCTCCTCTCGGGATTTTGGGCACGCACGCACACGCGCCCGGCGTGAGTTTTAAGCCACCGGGTCTGGGACACAAACCGCGGTCGACTACGTGGGAGTTCAGCGACATAGCCATTACACTAACTGCTGGTTCCCTTTAATATCTCTTTTGAAGTTAGGACTTTGGTGTAAATTTGCCTTAAGTATGGTTTCTGTTTTATTCTATGAGCTTCGGCATGTTTTGCTTTATTTTGTGTCCAGATATTTTGTAATTTCACTTACGACTTCTTTTTAACCCCAGATTGTTTAATGTGTTGTTTAATTTCCATGTTTGTAAATTTTCTCATTTTATTTTTGCCATTCATTCTAGATTAATTCCATTGTGACCAGAAAATATACTTTGCAGTATTTTAATCTTTAATTTGTTAAGATTCGTTTATGGCTTAATATGTCATCTATTCCGGAGAATATTCCATGCAAGCTGGAGTAGTTTGTGTGTCCATTAGATCTACTTGGTCTGTACATTATTCAAGCTCTGCTTCCTATATACCTTTTATCTTGTTTAACTCTCCATTATTGAAAATGCAGTATTGAACTCTCCTATTGTTGTGCTGGTATTTAATTTTACATCCAATTTTTCAATGTTTGCTTTATGTATTTGGAAACTGATGTTAAGGGCATATGTGTTAATATGTATATCTTCCTGGGGAATTGACCCATCTATCACTAAAAATATTCTTTGTTTCTTATGATAGTTTTTGCTTTAAAGTCCATTATATCGGGAACGGTGTTAGGTGGTAAAGTATAGCCACCTTGCTTCCATTTTAGATACCGCTGCATAGACTATGTGCTCCTCATCCCTGACCTTTTCTTTTCAGCATATGTGTGCTTTTGGATTAAAAAAAAAAGTATTTTGTAGACAATATAGTTGGATTTTTAAATTTTTAATTTAATTTAAGTATTTTGTTTTTCAGTCCCCTCTCCCCCACTCCCAGAGAGCACCTGACAGAGAGACAGAGAGAGGGGAAATGAAAAATCACCCCACCGGGGAGGAGGAATGGTCACACCACAATACATTTCTTTCTCTTCTTGAGATTTTGGGCACTCACACATGTACCTCTGCATGATTTTGAAGCTGCCACATCTGGGACTTGAACCATAGTCAGTCATGTAGGAATCTAGTGCCTTAACCAACATGCCACCTGCTGGCCCCTACAGCTGGATTTTTTTTTTTTAAGTTACCCATTCAACCTTTGATTGAGGTGTGCGATTTGTTTCCACTGAAAGTAATTACTGATAGGAAAAGACGTATTATTACCATCATTTTTGTATGTCTCAAAGTTATTTGGTCCCTTCTTTTCTCTTCTACTATTGTCCTTTGAGTTCTGTTAATATTTTTGTGTCTGTATGTATTGTTTCCCTTCTTGAGTCCTTTTATTTAACTCCTATAGTTATATTCTTTGTGGTTAATATGGAAATTATATTAAGCATCTTAAAGTTATAACTGTGCATTAAACTGATATCAGTTTATCAATTACATAATAAAACTCTAATCTTTCCATTTATTTATTCTTCTTTCTTTTTTTCAGAGTTTTTTTTTTTTTGCTATAGGGCACGTGCACTAGCTGGAGAGATGAAGAGCGACAGAGAGATAGAAAATGAGAAATCATCCCCAGGGAGGATGGCCACGCTGCAATCCCTTCTCCTCCACACACGCCCAGCATGAGTTTTAAGTTGCTGGGTCTGGGACTTGAAGTGTGGTTGACTACATGGGAGTCCAGCAACATAACCATTATGCCATCTGCTGGTCTCTCTTTATTCTTATTTGTTTTTGCTCCTCCAACTGGTACTTTTGAAAAACTTGTATTCAACTCCATTGATTCTTTTTTCTGCTTGGACAAACCTGTTCAGCCTTTCTAGTGATTTTTTTAATATTATTTACTCACTGTACTCTTCAGTTCCAGAATTGATATTTGGTTCTATTTTATAGTTTCTATCTACTTGAAATATTTTCATTTTTAAAAATGTACCATTTACCTGATTTTGTTTATTTGTGTTATCTTTTAGTTCCCTAGATACAATTAAGATAACTTTGAATTCTGTTGGGTAACTAACAAACCTCTGTGTAATTTTGGGTTGGTGCCTGGAGATTTGTTTCCATCCTTTGGTATATGGCTCTCAGTTTCTTTGCATGCCCTATGAAATTTACCTGAGATTGAGACCTTTGAAGAAATAGCCACTACCCCCAGTTTTACTGTCTGTCTTAATAAAGGGAAAGACCTTCAACAATCTGCTCTGATCGGGATCCTGGGAATACAATTTACTCATTGGATTGGGTGTGGGAGGGTGTCAAATCTGTGGGCGTGGCTTCTCTGCACTTGTGTATGTAACTTTCCTATTAAAGAGATTTGCCTACTTCTCGTCTGGAGCCTGTAGCATTTTGCACTAATTTGTCTGTGGTACCATAGTCTCTTTTGAGCTATAAAAGGCTGGGGTCCTTGTTTTCAGCAGCACCAATCTGGTATACAAACCACCCTTCCCATCAGCATTCTGAGTCATGTGAGATACACACCAGTCCTTGAAGCAGTCTCCTGAAAGCTAGAATTGAGAACACCTTGTCCATTTTTTTTTTCTTTCCATCAGAGGGAGAATCAGAAGTTGGGAGTTCTCTTCTGATCTTATCACACTGTACTCAGGAGGGGAAGTGGCTGGGGCGGATAGAATGCCACAGTATGCCTACCCACTTTATGGCACCTCTTCTTGGCTTTGCTCTTGGCCGGAATGCCAGAATCTATTGATTTCTGGTGTTGTCAGAAGGGCAAGTTTACATAGTACTATCCCTTAGTGTCTTCGAGGGAATGAAGTGAGTTGTTTCTATTCTTCTATTTTGCTGGTTTCAATCTTGGACAATTTTTATTCTTGAGTCTTATTACTTTATTGAACAATTTTCTGAGTTTTATGGCATAATTAAACTGCATCTCATCAGGGGAGAAATTAGCTGAGCCGAAATTCTATCATTGTTCACCTAATCCTCTTTTTCTGCAATACTTTGTAAAAAGCACCCTTCACCTGAGCATTCCTCAGACTGTAGATGAGGGGGTTCAGCAATGGGTTGAAGAGGCTGTAAAACAAGGCAAGGATTTTCTGTGGCTCCTGTCGTTGACCGTCATCTGGGACCAAGTAAACCATCATAGCTATGCCAAAGTAGAACCCAACCACACACAGGTGAGAGGAGCAGGTGGAGAAGGCTTTTTTGCGGCCTTCCATTGACTGGATCTTTAGGATGACCCAGAGGATATGTGCGTAGGAGACTAACATCAAGGAAAGGGGCCCAACTAAGAGAAACATACAAGCAGCAAACATGACGATTTTGTTGACCCAGGTGTCAGCGCAGGCCAGTTTGAGTACGGCTAAGATTTCACAGAAGAAGTGGTTCACCTCCTGAGGTCCGCAGAAGGGCAGCCGTAGAAAGAGAATTAGATGTACTAGGGTTGGGAAAATTCCACATGCCCAGGAAATGACAGCAAGGACTGTGCACCTTCTCCAGTTCATGATGATGGGGTACTGGAGAGGGTGACAGATGGCCACGTACCTGTCATAGGACATCACCACCAAAATCATGCACTCTGTAGCAGCAAAAGTCAAAAATGAAACCATCTGCATGATGCATGAAACAAAGGAGATAGTTTTTTTGTGCTGCACTAGGTTTTCTAACATATTGGGTAAATTGCTGGAAGCATAGGATATGTCAATGATGGCCAGGTGTGAGAGGAAGAAGTACATGGGGGTGTGCAATTGAGGGTCCAACCAAATGAGTCCCAAGATGATGCCGTTTGCCAACAGATTGAAGATGTATAATAGGGAGAAGACCCAGAAGAGGAGTACTTCTGTCTCTGCACTGAGCTGGAATCCCAACAAGATGAATTCTGTGATCCATGATTGGTTGTTTTCCATTTTTTAATGACAGTTTATAAACAACTAAAATATAATAGAAAAGTTAGAGCTAAAGGTCAATGAAAATTGATGATTTCAAATTAAGTTCAGAGGAAGCTCACTCACTTTTCTGTACTTGAATAAATTTATGTTTCTTTGCGTTTTTGATTGACTCTTTTATTGGTAAGTAAGTAATTAAAACTTTCAGATAAATATCAAGAATCAGAGATAATACTGTCATAAATCTCTCTTGTTTTTTAATACTTTCTTTATCATCCTCTTTCTCCCTACATACTCAATGTACTATTTTTTCCTTGACCAAATAAGAGTAATGTACAATCATAATGCTTTTTACCCTAAATTCTTATCTTTTTCCAGCAACACAAATATTCACTAATTCATGCAGAGTATAATTTCCAAAATCAGAAAATGTATCATTGACAAAACTCCCTATTATCAATAACAACATTTCTGGTTCAAGCTCTAATTCAAGATCACTTTCATCTCAAACCTGAAACATCTTTTCAGCCTTTGTTTGCATCAATACTAACATTTTCAATGACTTTAGAACATTTGTTCTGTAGAATGTCTCTCAGCCTGGGTTTTCCACTGATTTCTTGAGGTCTTAGATTATAAATTTTCATCAGGATTAAATAAAAAGTAAACTTACTCATTAATGATTTCTATTAGCAGGCAGCTAATGTTAATTTGTCATAATATTGGTGATGCTAAGGTGTATCACTTGGTTAAGGTGGTGTTTCTCAGATATCCCCACTATAAAATTTTAATTTTTCCTAGTATTATTTTGGAGGAAATATATCAAAACTTCTACATAAGTACTTTTTTTTTTTGGAGAGGTTTTTGCAATAGGGTGTGTGCGCTTGCCAGAGAGACAGAGAAAGACAGAGAGACAGAAAGTGAGAAATCACCCCCTGGAGGGATGGCCACACTGCAATGCCTTCTCCTCCATTCTTCTCTTGGAATGTTAGGCAAACATACACATGATCCCAGAGTGAGTTTAAGCCACTGGGTCCAGGACTTGAACCATGGTCAACTACATGGGAGTTCAGCGACATAGCCATTACTCTAACTGCTGGTCCCTATTTAAGTATCTTGATTGTATTAAACTTTCATCCTCTAGTTGTAGCATTCAGTGATGACTTTACCTGAAGCAGTCTTCACAAAATCATGCAAAATCTAATGTCCTATCATTCCTTCTACACTCATTAGTTGCTTTTACTAATGGTAATGAATTTCACAGTTTTCTTCTCCCTAGCTATATATACATGCATTCATCTATCCACATAGACTCAAGCATTTTTAAATACATTCAATCACTGTGTATCATTATAACTTGCAAAATGAAACTGAAATTTTAAAAATTCAATTATTTATAAACATTTTATGACATTATTTATTTTGAGAATTCAGTTATCCTACAACTGAACAGCTGATTTTTGTGCTATTTTAGCCTCCTTCCATAAATTTTAAAATTTACCAGAGTGCAAGGACACACACCAGAGAGAGACAGCAAAAGAAAAATGAGAAAGCACACTCCATGGGGAATGGTCATGCCACAATCCCTTCTCCTCCATTTCTAACTCCTTGCAAGATAATGGGCATATATGTACATGCACCTGGTGTGATTCTCAAGTTCCTGGTTGGGACTCAAACTGCCCACATGAAATTTACATGAAATCTTGCCATGCTGGCTGGATCCACCACACCATGGACTGGCTGACCTCGCCTTAAAAATTTTTAAAAATATTTATTTATTTAATTTTATTTGACGTTATTATTTATTTTAATCAGAGAGAGAGAACGGGAAAGGGAGAAAGTGAGTGGTCAGGTACAGGACTCAAACCGCAGTCAGGCATGTGGGAGTCTAGCACCTTAACATCTTGTCAAATGCCCCGACTTTACATAATTTTTAAGGACTTTTTGGTATCTGGCTTAACAACATCATCTAGGATCATCTTGTGTACTCCCACCTTAGCTTGGCATTTATTCACTGAAAAGATATTGTTCCTTTTCGTAGAGAATAAGATTTTTAAATTAATCCCATTCCATTGGACCTTTAATCATTGGTCTTTTTATCACCATGTTGTCAAATGTCTAATATATTCATTGAATATGGAAAGTATCTAATTTGGGACAGTACACAAATTATTACAGAGCATAAAATAATTTAAAATTTATTTTTTAAAATAATGCATCTTGGGGCCAAATCATGGTGTGGTGGCTAAGGAGACTGGATCCCACATGACTGACTGCGTGGTTTGAGTGCTGGACCCCGCAGCTTGAGAATCATGCCAGGTACTTGTACATGAGTGACCCAAATCTCAAAAGGTGGAAGAATTAGAGAAGGGACTGTGGTATGATCATTTCCCATAAGGGTTGCTTTCTTGTTTTCCTTCTCTCTCAGTCTCTCTGTCTCTCTCTAGCAAGTACACATATTTTAAAAAAATGCATCTTTAGTGACTTCTTTAGGAAACCATATTTATTTTACTAAATAGACATTAGAAATAAAGAAATTGGACTTTATATTGGTTAGTAGTTTATTTTCCAGTAAAAATATTTATAATCCCAGGATATTATCTTGTTTACTTTGTTCTCATTTTTGTTTGTATGGAAACACAAGAGTTTGAAGAGTTTGTATTTATATATAAAGTTTTAATTCTTATTTATTGTATGAATAAAGTTTAGTCTTATTTATCATATGAATGAAATGGCATCTACCTAAATTTTTATAGTTTAATTTTATTATGGTAGCACACTGAACATGAGATCTACTCTCCCAACATACTGTATTTTGTGTAGAATACATTAGGATTGACTGTGAACTGGACTGTACAATACTGCACAGCAATTCTCTAGAGCTTATTCACGTTGCTCGACAGAATCTTTATACCTATTGATTAGTAACTCCTTATTTCTCCTTCTCCCCAGTTCCTGAAACCACTATTCCATTCTTTGAATCAATGAATCTATTTTAGAGACTTCATAAAACTAAATTGATGTAATATGAAATTTTGCCATCACATTTTCTGAAGTTTCGTAGAAAATTACTAAATTTGATTTGAAAAATCCAAAGATGTAACACCCTGAAACATATGGCCAAAGATAATCATTGTTAATAGTTTGTGTATATAGAGTTTTTCCTTATTTACTCTTTATACATATTTTTATATCTATAATTAATTTTAAAATACAGAAAACTGTTCACTTATTTCATTTAGGGTCATTATTACTTATCTCTTTTTCATGTCAAAATATTTCTTTGTGAGATATATTAAACAGTTGAGTGTCATTTTTATTATATACTAATATTTTAATTTAATATATTGCCATCTAATTAGGTTATAAACAACATAATAAGACAAAGATAAAATTGTGTATTTTTCATTTATCTTATAATAAATAGTAATACACAGTCATAACTCTACTTCTATATATATCAATCTTCATCATCGTCACCACGTAAGTCTGAAGGTCTAAGAGAGTAATAGAGTGATTTGAGTTTTTTTTTTTTTTTTAATTTTTATCCTTTTTTTGGTATGGCCACAACCGGTTACAAGGAAAGGGATTTTACTGTATGCTTATTCTTTCTCTGGCCCCATTAAAAGTCTAGGCCACAAGAAGCCTTTAAAGATGGTCTTTCTCCATTGCAGGAAAATCCACCTCTCAGGCATCTATTAAATATATTGGCTTAATCAATATTAACAGTAAAAGAGTTGCATTCTTACTCTAGAAATATGTTTAATTCTCATGATAAAATCAAAGATGAAAAGCAGTGTGGTACCAAGTGTGAGTAATATGAATTACACATGTTTTATGTATGTATATTATAGGTATTCTTTTAGTCATCAGTTTCTATCTTTTTTTTTAAAGGTTTTTGCCATAGGATGTGTGCACCCACTGAAGAGAGACAAAAAGAAACAGTAGGATGGAAATGAGAAATCACTCCTCTGAGGGAATGGCTATGCTGCACTCCCATCTCCTCTATCCTCCTCTTGGGATTTGTCAATTTCTATCTTTTGACCAAGACATTCATTCTAGCTTATGGGGGGAAAATGCACAAATGGAATTTAATAATTTAAAAACCGTTTGTTTATAAAAGCTCTATTAAAAAATCCATGTAGTTTAAATATACTCTTCCTATAGGGTTGCTTGAATAAACTTCAATATATAGACTATCTTATTTCTCTGGAAAAAAGATGGCAATATATACATGTATTAGTGTATTTCACCCGTGAAGTGACGCATCTAAGAAGACATTTTCATGGTAACTACTTTATTGAAAAACTATTTTATAGGAATGTAAAATAATAATAATAATAAAAGGAACCTTGAAGACACACAGGACAGGTTTTTTAACTTTTGAAAAATATCAGCTTAAGAAAGTCATCAATAATGTGAGGACTGGCCCTTTAAGAACAAGGGCTGAGATAAAAATGAGAGACAGTACTAGATGCTGTTTCTGTAAGTATGATTGCGTTTAGGAGGGTTTTATATAAATGTGCGTTAAGTGTATTTTTTTTTTTTTGCTACAACTAAAGAATATCATTAGAGTATGAAAAATGAATGGAGTGACACCTGACTTTAGTTATATTTATTTTTTAATTAGAAAGCCTTTTTAATTTAATCTCTTTTTTGGTTCTCTTAACAAAAAGAATAATAGTGAAACAGATTTAAACTGATATGCAATGAAACACAATAATAGAAAATAAAATTTTGAAATAAGTTTGTATGTATGCCCAAAATTCCAAAAGAAGGGAGAGATGAAGGAGAAGGGATTGCAGCATAACCATTCCCCATGGAGGGGGCTTTCTCTTCTTTCTCTGTCTCTGTCTCTTTGTTTCTGATAAGCACACGTACCTTCTAGTGCACAAATAAAATAAATAACTTCAATAAAGATTTCCCTTTTCAGTAGAGTCAATAAAATGATAGCCGCTCAGAAAATGAAGAGTCAGAAAACAAATTCCCACCTGGGATGTCTGACATGTCTCTGGGCAGACTTGTATCTGAGCTAGAGAGCTTTATCTTACTATTCCAACTCTGATCAGAAATATAGGCACTCATTCTATGTTATTTTGTGACAATCTTGGAATTAAACACAATACTTTATGAATCTGAAAACAGATTAGGAGATAGTCTGGGAACATTTCAATAAGAAATAATTATATTGGAAACTTACCTCTTACCCTGTTTGAGCAAGGAAAATTGACTGCCAGAGCAATGATAATTTTGTTTTCCAGTAACAGAAGTTACTCTACAAATACCTCCATTTAGGCTAAGTAATATATAAGATCTTTACTATTTCTGTGGTATCAGAGCTTAATCCAGAGGCCTGTGTAAGTACAGCTTGCTCTTCCAGGTGCCATCACAATCAACAGAGCTGGGATGGTTTGGATGACCACTATCCATCCAAAGTGGGAAATGGTAGTGAGAAAGTCCCTGAGCCATCAGAGGAACCATTGCCAGAATGCAGAGGAAGAAGTTGTCAAAGTCAGTGGGGCAGTGAAACTGTCATTTCCATCTCAAGGAGCCTAAACTTTGACTTAGGAGGGACTAGGGATGTGTCACTTAGGAGCGTCATTCCTTTCCACACATCCATAGCTACTCTCACTGTCACCCTGTACTACCTTAACTACTCATTCTTAAAACCATCTCACAGTGCAAAGAATCCCTTCTACATGAGAAGGTATAAGCACTGGATATTCTTTATGAAAACGATCATGACCTAGAAGAACCTCTCAGAGGCAAATTACATACAACGAGATACTCTACCAAGCTTCAGAGAACACATCTCAAATTCAGGAGCCCCAGTTGCTGATGATTGCACAACAGAGTATAAAATCCCAATTAAACCTTCAGGAGTAAAGGTTTTATTTAGAATTAGTTAAATACTCAAATCTCAGAAGGATTATGACACAGCGTATCTTCCTACCTTCACCCAAGGGAGAAACACAGTTCCCTGACTCTTCTCTCTGGAGGAGAACAAAGACTGTGTCTGTTTGGAAAGAAAAGGCAGGACTCATCTTGTCTCTATCTGCAGTTGACTGTTATGGACACAAAAAAGGAAGGATTGTGGCAGCTAAAAACAATACTTGTTGAGTCCATACCATGTTTAACAAAATGTGCCAAATGCTTCATGTAGCTCTCATACTGAAATCTAATCATTATCTTCCTTTTAGACATAGAGAGGCTGAAATTTAAATATGCCAAATCAGTTGTTCTCTGGATCTAGGAGCCCCTAAGAAACTTTGACTATATCCATGAGGTTAACATTTATTTTCATAATAATATAAGATAGTATGATGCTTTTTCATTCTTATTCTCTCAAGAGGATATGTTGGAGCCTTTCATAGGCTGTATGACATGATATTTTGAGAGACTGGATGCAGAAGAAATTACAAAATCTAGATGGCTTATAAGACAGACATTAAAGGACTTCAGTGAAATTAAAAGCAAAGCTACTTTTTCACAATTTTTTATTTGAAAATATAGTTAATTTAAATATGTTACATATTTTGTTTAAATTCTTAATATAAGAAATAAAAGCATAAATCCAAAAGAAGTTCTTTTTTCTTTTTTTTGTCCTCTGGGATATCTGAGTATAAAGAGCTCTTGAAAATAAGGAGTTAAAGGAACCATTGCACTAAATGTATTCTCAATAATCTTGCAAGGGCCAAAGTTACAGTAAATGATGTATTTCTTATTCCAAAGTGTATCAATTTTCTATTGCTGCCATACCAAATTACTGTAAACATGGCTGCTCAAACAATATACATTTATTATTTTACATATTCTATGAGACAAACTTCTGGTCCAGGTCATCTGGATTCTCTGCACAAAGTCATAGGAGCAGTTTACCTCAGTCTGACAATACTCTTGTGAAGTTAGAAATGATCTCTGTAGGTGACCTGATTGTACATATAGGAGAACCAAAGGTATCTATGAAAAAACTTCTTGAAGTTTGTAGTCTTCTGCTTTTCATGGAACTTGGCTGAATTCTGTTCCTTGCGGTTCTAGAACTGAGGTCTCAGTGTTTTCTCACCTGGGATTGCTCTCGACTTCTTGCTGCCACTATGTGTTCTTAGAACAGGGCCCTCCATCTTCAAATCAGCAATAGCATGTCAAATTCTTTACATTTCCATCCTTTTGGAACCAGCACATAAGGTGATGGTTATGTCTCTAGACTCCCACATAGTTGACTGAGGTTTGAGTCCTAGATCCAGCAACTTAAAACTCATGTTGTGTGCATGTGCGTGCATACCTGAAATCCCAAGAAAAGAATGGAGGAGAAGGGATTGTGGTGTGGCCATTCCCCCTGCCTGGGGCTTGATTTCTCACTTTCTATCTGTCTGTCTTTGTTTCTCTGGCAAGCGCACGAGTCCTATAGTAAAAATCTCTCTCTCAAGAAAAAGAAATCCTCTTATATATGTTTGGATATCTTTCATTGTGATGAAATAGATAATAAAAATCACTGTCTTATCTATTTACATGTACAATTTAGTGGCATTAATTACATTCACGATGTTGTACATTCTCACTACTAGCCTTTCAAAAATTTTTTCCCCAACAAGAAAATTTTTAGCCATTAAATAATAATTCCCCTTTTCAGTTTCTTTTGATGAAATTAATTTTATTTGAGTTTTCTTTTCTTCCCTGTGGAAAAAAAAATTGTTGAAAATTGTTTCTACAGAAGTTATTAATTTAATTGCATGAGACTTTTTCATAGATCTTACCACACTGTTTGTAAAAATTTATTACTGCTTCTTTTCCCCATAATTATTCATTATTTTAATATATAATTATGGATATTTGTCACATTGTTACTCAAGGTAATTGCACAAAAAATTTCTAAAATCACCGATCATGGACCAAGTAAAAGTCCATTGCCTTCAGGCCCCAAGTCAGATGTGTAGGCTCTCGGGGTCATCGTATTTGAGCTTTGTGTGGTATGTATAAATATTAAACTAATAAAAAGAAATTGTGTTCATTGAAATTATCTGGAGAGGAAAGTTATTTAGTAGCAATATAACTTTACTGTGCAAACTGATTCACATATAATAAGAAAAGGCATACCAAATTTTAATCTTCCATCTTTACCTGCCATGTCTCATAACAAGCAAAAACCACTGAGCCAAGATGCTACCCTCCTTCAAGTGGCCCTCTTTTGCCGCAGTACCCTGTAGAAGGCATCTTTTACCTGAACATTCCTCAGACTGTAGATAACAGGGTTAAGCAACGGATTGAAAAGGCTGTAAAACAGGAAAAGAATTTTCTGCTCTTCTTCTCGTTGACTGCTGTCTGGGACCATGTAAATCATCATAGCTATGCCGAAGTAGAGTCCAACCACACACATGTGGGAGGAGCAGGTGGAAAAGGCTTTTTTGCGGCCTTCTTTTGACTGGCTCTTCAGAATGACCCAGAGGATGTTTGTGTAGGAGACGAGCATCAAGGAAAGGGGCCCAACTAAGACAAACACACCAATAGCACAGAGAATAATTGTATTGATCCTGGTGTCAGCACAGGCCAGTTTGAGGACAGATAAAGTTTCACAGAAGAAGTGGTTCACCTCCTGGGGTCCACAGAAGGGCAGCCTTAGAAAGAGAATTAGATGTAATAGGACCAGGGAAAATCCACATGCCCAGGAAGTGACAGCAAGGACTGTGCACCTTCTCCAGTTCATGATGATGGTGTACTGGAGAGGGTGGCAGATGGCCACATACCTGTCGTAGGACATCGCCACCAATATCATGCACTCTGTGGAAGCAATGGTCAAACACAAGGTCATCTGCACAATGCACGAGACAAAGGAGATAGTTTTATTGTGCTGCACTAGGTTTTTCAGCAAGTTAGGTACATTACTGGAAGGATAGGAGATGTCAATGATGGCCAGGTGTGAGAGGAAGAAGTACATGGGGGTGTGTAATCGCGGGTCAAACCATATGAGTCCCAAGATGATGCCATTTGCCAGCAGACTGAAGATGTATAACAGGAAGAAGATCCAGAAGAGAAGAATTTCCATGTCTTCACTGACCTGGAATCCCACTAGGATGAATTCTGTGACCCATGATTGGTTGCTTTCCATTCCTTAATGATGGTTAGTAAAGGATTGAGGTGTGATAGTAGGTCAGAACTGAAGAATCAAAGAAAATTGGAGTTATTATGTCAAAGTAGGCTTGGAGGAAGCTTACATACTTGACCCTATCTAACAGAATTTTTTTTACTTCAATGTTTTTGCCTTTTTGTTTTTAGCTTTTTATTGTGAAGCAATTTAAGTTTTCAGGACCAGCAGATGGTGTAATGGTCAAGTTGCTGAACTCCCACGTAATCCATTGCTGTTAGAGTCCCATATCCGGTGGCTTAAAACTCATGCCAGTGCATATACATGAGAACACAAAATCCTGAGAGAATGGAGGAGAAGGGATTGTGGTGTGGCCATAGCCCCTGTGGGGTGATTCCTTGTTTTCTGTCTTTGTCTCTGTCTCTCTGGTGAGCATATGCACCCTATAGCAAAAATTTCTCTAAAAAAAAAAAGATGAAATTTAAGTTTTCATATGTATCAATAGTTATTAGCAATATTCTCACATGCATGCCATACATTCAGTGACTTAATATTTTGTTATTTTTCATATTTGCTCTTTATTCTATTTAATGTGTATTATTAATAGTTTGTATTCTTATTAATTCTTTCTGAGTACTTCAGACTAATGTGAATCCACAATGGTATCATTTTTAATAATTTGCTTGTATCACTTTTATTATTTACTTTGTTTATTTTTCTTCTATAATGAATTTAAAATTATAGGAGATAGTATTTTTATCTGTATCTTTCATTTAGAGTTCTATCATACCATATACATTTCCATATAAAAATATTTCTCTACTGTATGCAGTAAGATACAATTTTACTGCATACATTATTTTAATTTCATAGTTATGCAAGAGCTATGAATAAGTGTACTATGTTACCCATTAGGTTGTGAGCCATATAGTGTTACAGTGATTAAATTTTATGTCTATGCTTTTGGATTTTTTAATTAAATTTTTATGTAAATTCTTAGACACAGACATTCACAGCCTCTCTCTCTTTTTCAAAGTATTTTTTCTATGATTTTCATCATCATTATTACCATTGCCATCTGTCTCTATCTATTGAAAAAGCAAATAATCAAAAATCAAAATATATCATTCCGGGAAGACAATTATCAATGAAAAATTATCTCTAATTTAGCCATTGGGACACTCTAAGTTCATCTTTCTGACAAAGTTGTTCTATGTTTAGTTTTTTAGTTTTTTTCATACTGTCTCTGAGAGGAGCATTGATCCTGTTTATTATACTTTATTCAAATCTTCTTTAAAAACCACCAATGATAACTTTAAGTGACATGCTTCAGTATTTCTTCATGCCTGGAACCCAGTGGTTTCCTGGAAGTCACAATCTCATTGCCCACCATTCTGGTGTTCCTTCTTACGCATCCTTTGAGCCTGTATTAAACCAAATGATACAAAGTTCTCACTGGGTAGCTAGTGTTCTCTCATTCCAGTTAGTGGCCCAGGAAGTGTTCTTGTTTCCTAGACAGGTGATGACTTAAATGATGTGATTTTTCAGACCTCCATCATCCATTAAACAAATTTTTTATCAATACGATCACTACAAGTTAAAACAATTACTTCGATATAATCAACTTGAAAATTGATTTATAAAACTGCTATAAATAATCCATGTAATTTAAAATTCACTGTTTCTATAAGATATGCTTGAAAATGAACTGTACTTTTTGTTTCATATTTAGTACACACTTGAATACACAAAGAAATGGACCGAGAAAAAAAATGGCAATACATAAATGAATTAGTGCCTCATACCTGCATGAATGTTGCCTATAAGAAAATGTTTCAGGATCGAAATTTTATTGAAAAATTAGTTTATAAGAAAGTAAAATAAGAAAGATCCCAGAAAACACAACAAACAGCATTTTCAACTGGCAGAATATTGGCTTGGGGAACTTTCAAGATTGTGGACAGAAGGCCTTGAAGAGCAAAGGTTCTTAAATTTTAGGTCCCTGTTTATGCAACTAAAATCTAAGTTGTATTTGAATTTCACACTTGGAAAATTCTGAATTACTCTTATGTGTCAATGGAATAAGCTGAAATTCCATTCTATCAGTTTTAAATAAATTTCTTGGGCTGATAATAAGATTCACCAAAATGAATCCAAACATTTTTATACTTCCACCACCACCTGTCCCTTTTGTCCAGTACTTTGACAAATAATTTCAAAATACCTTCCTTTAAAAAAAATCCATTATCACTTCCACTTACGTATACTTTTAGCTAAACAAGACTGAAAAATTGTTTGGATATCCAAAAGGAAATAAAAGAAGCATGGCTTTTATAATTGATTTACTATATTCTATGAATATATGGACTTCAAACTAAGTGGCTATTTTCCTGGATAATATTATTCCTTGATATATCAGGGTATGGACATGACTACCTTTTATTTTCTGTGTTTGTTTGCTGTTTTATTAAAGTACATTATATTGACATTTTCTCATATAATCTTTCAATTTTCCAGGAAAGCTTATGTACTTAAGTTAGTGAATATCTGCCCTTCAAGATGATCTTGACTAAGAATAAAAAACTGTGGCTAGAGACTTTCTGGCAATAAATTAAAGAAGAAATAAGAAAAGAGCAGGATCTCACACAAAAAAGGAAAGTCTTTGATCCCTTGTGTTTCTATAAATAACAATGCGTTTGGGAAGGTTTATGTAACTATGTGTTCCATGTGTAACATTCATTTTAGTGACAAGCATAAAAACATTGCTAGAATGTACAAAATAGGCAGAGTAACATCTTGTCTTTTTTATTTTAGTTATTTTTATTTCTGAATTGATAAATTCTTTATTTTCACCTCCAGCGCCATTGTTTTCAATCCACTCCTTAAAAAACAAAATGTAAAACAATTCTAAAGAAAAATTTAAACTCTAGGTGGTACAGAACTAAAATACAGAAGAAAGTTGAAAAGATTCTTAGTAAAAATGTTTCTTCCCCACAGAGTCAGTAAAATGGCCGTGGGTCAGAAGCCTGGTGGGATGGCCACTATGTGTGGTGCCCTTCCTGCAGGGCTGTGATGGAACCTGGGAGCTTTATACTGTTTCTCCTTCTCCCGTCAGAAGTATTGGCAGTCATCCTCTCCTGTTTGGTTAAAGGAAAAACCTCGTTTCACATAAAGATAATTTCTGAGTCTAATAAGAGTTGACAATGAGAGTGATCCCCCTGAAAAGTTTCAGAAAGAAATAACCATTTGGCAAGCTTATCTGTTACACTCT